AAATATATATACCATACCCTGTAAATTCATTTAGATTGCTCTGAAGATATTGCATTGTAAACAACGAAACGTTAGCTAATTAAAATTTTTACTTTTATTATATATGTTTGGTTTTAAAGTTATTTGCTGGGCTCTGCTCTTTATCTTTAAACTAAGATTTCCGCCTGGTGTATCAATTGCCACAGAATACAAGATATGTAAAAATTTAACTATCAGAAATGCGAATTACGTTATTTTGAAAGTTCGGTGAGCAAAACCGAAAATGGACCTCATTTTGAAAATGACCAAAGTTTAAAGCTAACGAAATCTTTGTTAGTTTTTTTTTGCTCCGTTCATACCAAATTACTGAACAGTTTGCAATTGCTCAAAAGCAAACACCACATTGAGAAGTTTTCTGACAAAGGCATTTATCTTGTGATGTAATCTTAAAGACTTAAGTCAAAACTTCCTTTAAACAAGGGTTGGTTAAGAACTACTTGACTTTACTATCCGCCGACTTATATTTGCTTCAAAAAGAAAGAATGAATTGGTTTGACGCACCAGCAAAACCAATATGACTATGTACATCCTGTCAGTGCACATATAAGATGTCATGTATAAAATATTAGTACGTATACATGCATATATATATTATTACATGTATAATAAAAAAATACATTTTACTATATATGTAATAATAGTATTGTACAGGTCCCTATTGAAAATCACCTTTGGCGAGTAGGTTACCTGTTTAAATATTTGTTAAACAAACAATAAAATATATTGCAAATAGTTAAAAATGACAGGTCATGATTTTATCTTTGATTGGCTGTACATATAGACCGATATGATAAATGGTTGTCATTATTTTCTTTTCTTTTGTTTATTAGCCATGAACGCAAAATGGTAATTAAATTATTTTGCAAAAATGATTCTACTGTATCTATATTTTTTACTTGGCTTTCGGAAAGTCCTTCATATTTATTTATCTGATAATTAGCAAGAAAAACAAAGGCATTTTCGGGGAAGTAATTTACGAAATGTTATATATATATACATCCTATATATATATATATATATATATATATATATATATATATATATATATATATATATATATATATATATATATATATATATATATATATATATATAACTTCCCAAGTCGAAGGGCCTTCTTTCGAATTCCAAACGTACATGGACCTACATGGCTCTGTAACCGAAATTATACGTTGCAATTGTCTCCGCTCTCAACAGACACTGCAAAACATCTCTGTGTATTTATTTTGACTCTATTAAAACTTGAGTAGAATAATACACCGATACAGTGACTCGAAATTTTAAGGAAAATTACTCATTCAAATTATTAGCACATTTATTCATTTTCTTTAATAATCCCGGATCAAAGTAGGATGAGATCGCGAGTGCATGAGTGTTGGCAGTCAGTCAGTCACGCGATCTTTGTTAGCTGTTCTTAATGGCTTTCCCACTGACTACACGACTCTACTTTATTACATAGTAGAGAGCGGTGAGATACTGAAAAATACACAGTGAGATATTTTCCGTATCTTCACTAGTGAAAATATCGATCACGTGACTTTTTCCAATTTGCTTTTGAGCGTGAAATTTCACAATTTTTGCTTGGGACTATATATAATAAACAGAACATTACACGGTGGCTTGACGATATGACTTTTATCTTCTCGTGTTAAAAACAATATTTTACTCGCTGCGCTCGTTCGTAAAATATTATTTTCACCACTCGAAGATATAGCCTAAAAGTCATGTCTTCGCGCCACCGTGTAATATCCCCTATGACTATGTATTTAAGTTAAAAACATCGTTGGACTGACTCTTCAATTGTTAATTGCAATTGTTATTCTGAAGCTTAAAAAATGTCCCGTGTAACAATTGAAACAATTGTCAATGCGTGACTGCCACTCTCATCAACTCTCATCTTCGTTTGACCGAAGCTTTTAATAAAAAGGGGGGGTAAATTTGCTCATACATATTAAGACATGAATTTGAGTCAGACACTCGGTGTGGGGGCCGTGATTATTTTACTCAACTTTTTTGCAGTGCGTGCTCTTACAATACAGTACATTTAAGTATTTTTTAAACATGCAAGTGATATCGTATATTAACAAGTACGCCGTAAAAAAGGAAACGTGAGAAATTGCAGAAAAAAGGCAACGACTGCACAATATCTTACAAACTTTGACAATGTCAATGTGTATTGATTGAGAAGTATAGGAAATGCCAAACGACTTATATTTGCCACTGTCTTAGATTATTTTGTAGTTTTTTGTGTGTTTGAATCACTCCATTGATATTTTGTCTGCTTGTGTGATACTTCGTGTAAAAGTGACGGCTGTCAATCAGAGTTGGTCCGCACACCATTAAATATTTACTATTGTTAATATATATAAGTGAAATCCGAACGAACATTTTCTGTATAGGCTATATAGTATATATACCAAGTCCCAAAAATTTGGATTCCTTTCGTAGTATTAAACGTAGCTACATTTCTCATATTTCAAAAAAATGAGTTCATAATTCCTTTTCTAAGCTCAGCTTATACAGCTCAGCCAATTAACGTTTATACAAATAATATTTATATATTTTAAATTGTATTAAAAAACATTTTGAGACTTCTTTATAAAAGCCTTTCGGTTTTTTCACTTTCGTGATGCCACCTTGCAATTTGCACTGAATAAATTATTTGAATCTCGTATTTTGTAATTTGTAAATGATAATTATGCTGTTTGTGTATTTTGTAGCAAACTTTTTAATATAAAAATATCTTTAATTAGTCTCAGTGCCAGTGGTAAAAGAAATTCAATAAATTCAATTCAGTAAATTCATCTAAAAAAAGTCAATAACTGCATGAATTCAATAAGAATATAATATCATTAGGATAAATATAATTATTTACCAAACTTATTTGCGCTAGACGGTCTAGACCGTATATTATGAGTATGCCATGCCTGTGCTGCATAATTTCCTAGCTCTATATAAGAACAATGACAATGTCGTACTGTATAGGAACTATTTGCACATTACTAACCATTAATTATATAGCTACTGTAATGAATATGGTGAAGAATTCTGTGCACGACATATCAATAACACCTGCAGTTAGTAAAAAATTAACTACAAATCTAGATTGATAAAATCTATTTTTCTATAGCTTACAGTTGATTAGTGAGATAGTTTTCAATTTCATTCTGAAAAAAACGCAATCTTATAGTACACCCTACTAGCATATATATATATATATATATATATATATATATATATATATATATATATATATATATATATATATATATATATATATATATATATATATATATATATATATATATATATATATATATATATATATATATATATATATATATGTCGCGTCAGAGACCGACCGTTGATGCTGACGAATCAAACACAAACTGAATTAATTGCCTGAAGATCGTCTTGAATAAGGCGTGAAACTTGAGTAGCAATAATTAATTTTAAGATATAAATATATCTTGCTCTACTTTTGTATTAGTGTGAGCACTTTATTATCTACTACAATATATATATATATATATATATATATATATATATATATATATATATATATATATATATATATATATATATATATATATATATATATATATAAATTAAGCCAAAGTTTCACAATTTTACCACATAAATTGGCGTATTGCTATAGTCGTGGTAACTTTAAGGATATTGTACTCTTACATCAAATATTTACAAAAATTAAATTTCTCATACTAACATGATATACTTAGCCTTAGGAAAATATTTTTGCGACATTTTTGTTTTACAAATCGGACCACCAAGAATATTTATTTGTCGTTCTGCTAGCGCTGGCCGCTGGGGGAAACATCAGGGGGAAACAGCAAGTTCCGGCTCGGTGAAAGATTATACCACATCATTGTTATTGTGTAATAAAATATCTTTGTATTGTCTTTTAAATCAAAACTACTCTTGCATGCGTGCAGTTCATATAAACAATAAAGAAAACTGGACTAAATTCACCCAATTCGTTGAAGGATTCGTTTACACTAACAGTAAGCAGATAGTATATTTCGGCCGATCATCACTCATCAAAAAATATACATTACTATTTCAAAACAATACCTTCATGGTAGCCACTTTATAAACTGACACTGACGCCTGGTTTCAAAAGAACCGACGTTTTTATATCAGGCTGGTAACATGCCGAAGAGCATCAAAAAGGTTTACACGACAAGCCACAACGGCGTATAGCCTATACTCGCTATAGGTTATTTGACTACAACAAGTTGGAATTTCGGGAAACATGTATTTTAAAGAATAAAGTTTGGACAAATGAACAGCTAACGGAATCTTTTCAAATTTCACAAATTTCAAGTTACTTTTCCTTTTTGGGGAACAACAGTGTGTGCAGTTTACACTTTGACAGTAAAACTATGAATTTATAAGAAGCTAAATACCTAAGCTTAGCGCGTGGCCGTGATTTGTCCACTTTTGAGTTTTGCATCAGCGTAACGTCATGCAGTTTAACAAATTCATGTAGAATTCAGGAGAGAACAGCTTTTCGAAAAAGGGGGTTTAAATTTTGTTTCTTTAAATAAATCAATTAAGCTGTCGCGTGCCGTGGTTTGTGGACTGAGCTGCATGAAATAACCCGACCTATAGTGAGATATGAAACCCTTCGGCGCACTTCATGACTGACAGAAGTGCCTCAACTAATCACATCCTGGCGAATATGACGACTAGTGGCAGTGCGTTCGCCCTAAACATATGTATGGAAGTGCTTACAAACTTTTTCATGAGGTAGTTCAGAACCTCTGTCTTTGGGATTTGGCTTTCGTTTTTGTTACAAGTACAAAATTAAGATTGCACTACCTGCAGGTCGAAGATCCCGGCTTATAGCTTATATCGAATCCCAAAAAGCTATGGTTGCTTTTACTTAATAAACAGTAATCCAAACAGTAATCCAAGCAAAACATCTCAATCAATCTTACCTTCGGTTATACAGTTACACCAGGATCGTGTATGCCTTGAGTTGTAAATCCACACTTTCTTCTGAAGGCTGCAATGTTACCACTATACCGTCAACTCATCAACTGACTGTCACTTTGTCAACTTGACATTTATATCCTGTGAGCGGCTAGACGTCACCCAAAGCGGTTAAGTACCACGGTTCTTTTGATTTTGTATTAATCTTATGCCCGGCCCCTTACACAGAACCAACCCATGGCTTCCAGTGCAAAAAGAATCTTACTTTGATTTCCTATTGTATTCTAATCATATCACACGCGTTGTTATGGAGTTCACCCGCATCATACGTTTAATACAATGGTGAAACAATATATTTAATGTTTGTTTGTATAAGTGGTTATTGGTTCACGAAATATCAGAGTGTTCGCGAAAGAACAAATATAATACCATAGTTCAGCTAGCGAAGGTGAAAGTCGCCTTGAGTATCAGGCCGGGTCATGGGATCAGATTGTTTGATGGGTTGGGCATAAATCTTCCTTACCATCAGGTTCGTCCAAATTAGGTGATAATTATGTAATTAAAATCGACGATGATGTAGATTTGAGATGCCCCATCTAGTATATACTAGCGTGACTAACGTCTCTTTGTATAAATATTGATCACTGAAACAGCTGAGTACGTAATATTTATTTTCAGCCATTACTCGCGACCATACTGTCAAATATATAGCTAACAGACTTTACTGTTTATTGCATGCACTTCTGTCCCCAATGGCCTCGTTTCCATCTTTTCCTGTTTTAGCACGGTAAGCCGAACATGAATATTATGTACTCGTATTTTGTGCATGAATATGGTTTTCTTTGATCTTGGGCCCAAACACGAACCTATCCTTAACCCTATTGTAACACGAAACATGAGGAATAACCACATGAAAACGAGGCCATTGGAGCAAGAGTTCAATAATTACAGTAATTTAGTCCATTGAAGATCAAAATCACAACCGCAAACATGGCGACAATCCATTCCAGAAAGTGTGGGTTGGAGAGGGGCGGGGCGAAGCCGGTCGCCAGACCTGGAGGCATCTACCCCCTTTAATGTTATTGTATTTTCACAACAAGTATTTGTATAGGTCAATTGAAACAGAACTGCTCTGGCATAGGGCACTTCGGAGGTTGTTATCGCATTGTGAGAATTGATTTTTTAAAAATATTTAAACCTCGATTCTAAGCGCGAAAAGCACAATGGGAATGTTTATGTTTCTTTAATGCTCCTATTTCCACGTCCATTCATACTCGATTACATGTCAAGTCTATTCACTATTGTGTTATAAGAGGTCCAGATTCAATTTTCAATCTTGAGTTTTGCCGATTTAATTGGGACAACCTTAAACTATTATTTCATTGAAATAGTTTATAGTTTAAGTGAGTTTTCAAAATTGTACAAAACGTTTTACAATTTTTGAACGTATAGAGAGCAATGGGGTATGAATATACGTAAGGTTTTGGCAGGGCCATAGGAAGGGCGGGCATATCGTATGCATGCAGGGAAGCATTTACTGGCGGAATTAAGGAAGCATTTACGTTTGGTTTTCTTCTGAATAACGGGATAAGTTGATCATAAGAAACTTATGCACTGTCTTACAGGTAGACTTGTGACCGGATTACGATGCCTCGCCTCTAGGCTGGCTGTCTCCGAAAAGTTTTTCAACTGTGTCTCAATCTTGTGGTAATGCCGAAATCTTCGTGGAAACGCTAGGGTGGTGTGAAAATATTTACGGAAGGTGGTAGCGGTCTAACTCACGGAAAGTTAGGGCTTAGAATGTACCCATATAGCCTCCCCTCTTCCCCTCTTAAACAACGTGAGGTATAGCATGTATCACATTCAGAAAGTTGTTTTCGAAACCGACATTTGCATCAAAGGTCTAATAAATGTATAATAAAAATTCCATTCAAAATTCCCTAAGTAATATCCAATGAGATGCACAAAATCCTGATGTTTACCCATACACCTTACATTTTTTTTTTATTATTATTATTCGCCCAAATCACATCAAAATTAACAATTAAGATAGAAAATATTTACAAATAGAAACCAAAAGGCTTTTATTTAAGGTCCCTAGACCTAGTTACAATTTAAATTAATATAATATTAAAGTTAGTAGTTCAATTGTTTTCGAAGTAATTATGACGATATATATACAATAAGGAGATTGTATAAAGATATAATAGATTAAAGTATAACAATTACTTGTCCTTCTATGTGGCATGATGAATTCCAAGTAGAATTCATCATGCCACATAGTACTTATGAATTCTAATTACAAATTCTAATTTGACTGAAGAAGATATTTTTTCATTTTTTTGAATTTAAATACTAAGGAAGATCTAATTTGCTTATATTGCGCTGGCATGGCATGGTGTTGTGTGCATTTTTCGTAACTGCTAATTTGGCCGTCTAATAAGTGTATAAAATTAAAATTCCGATCCAAATTTCCATCTACACTGAATCCCTTCAACAATGGACCTAAGCCTACTTTGGGGGCCAAGGTCGCCGTTATTATGTGCAACATTATGCGACATTAGGCGACATTGGCAATTTTCAACTAGAAAAGTAGTGCGCGTCGCTGGACAAAACTGGGCGACATTGAGCGACATTGGGCGACATTAGGCGACATTGGACAAAACTGAACAGCAATATCCAGATAACGTCAAATATTATAATTCACAAATTAATTGCATCTACATAGAAAATACAACAGTAAATATGAAAATATAATTTAGTTATCAAAAATTGGTTCCTGTGGCAAAGAACACAATTAGTTTATTAGAAATAGTTTGCAAAAATAACAAGGAACATTTATCTAACTGCTAACCTGACAATGCTTGTGCGAGATTATGCAACATTAGGCGAAATTAGGCGACATTAAGCGAATAGACTGTTAGGCAAAGTTCAAAAATTGGGCGAAAGTGAGCGAAATTAAGCGACATTAGGCGAAATTAGGCGACATTAGGCGACCTTGCCCCCCAAAGTAGGCCTGGACCTATTCCCTGATGAACACATTTTTGATGTAGACAATTAAGTCTAGGCAAAAATTTCATCACAGCTTGAAAGAACATCACAAAAGTAGTAATATTCCGAAGTTTTGTTGCGAAATATTGTAAAATGCAGATAATATAGCCCTGCGAAGTTTGCCGTTTTTCAGTCATTTTGTATTAAAGTCCATACAGACCGATTGAACGGGATTCGACAACGCGACGCGAATTTTCAGTTTTTAAAAACAATTAAAACCGTCAACGGATAAAAATTTTACAAGACATGCAGAACAAATAGCTAAAATTGCTTAAGTGGTTCCGAATATTTGAAAAAACATAGAAAAATAGTGAAGTTAAATGTCATTGAAAATTGAAAATTCGCGTCGCGTTGCCAAACGCGTCCGGTCTGTATGGACCTTTACGCGCGGGAAATTGATATCGCTTTCTGAAAAAAGGTATCAATTTCCCGTGCGTAATACAAAATGACTGAAAAACGGCAAACTTCGCGGGGCTATATTATTCGCATTTTACAACATTTCGCAACGAAACTTCGGAATATTACTAATTTTGTGATGCTCTTTCAAGCTGTGATGAAAGTTTTGTCTAGACTTGTCTAGATCAAAATTTTGTTCATTATGGAATAGATCCATTGATGATTCCCCTTGTGTTCGTGTCGCTTTGCATTGTGGTTATAGTGGTATCACTGATAAAGATAACGGCCTCGACTGAAGATATTGAATGTCTTCGCGAATATTTTGCTGTTAGCTATCGCGCACCTGACCCTAGCTTTTTTTAAAAGTTCTTTCACGGGTCAGGACAAAAAATAAGCCATCTTGAATGTCAGTGATACCACTATATAACCACAATGCAAGGCGCTGCGAAAACGTAATAAGGGGAATCTTGTATTAGTTATCCATCCACCACGTTTGAGATATCTTTTTCGGGATGTTCAGACACAAATCACGATAGCTTATTGTATAGAATACTACATATACTGCACCCGGCCCAACGTTTGAGATATCAGTTTTTTCAGGTAGTTCAGGCACAAACCTTATTGTAGAATATTACCTACACTGGACCACCATATTTGAGATATCTTTTTCATGTAGTTCAGACACAAACCACGACAGTTTATTGTAAAATACTACCTACACTGGATCACCACGTTTGACTGAGATATCCGCTTTTTTCAGATAGTTCAGACACAAACCACGACAGCTTATTGTAGAATACTACCTACACTGGACCGCCACGTTTGAGATATCTTTTTCAGGTAGTTCAGACACAAACCACGAAAGCTTATTGTATAGAATACTACATATACTGGATCCCAACGTTTGAGATATCTTTTTCAGGTACTATAGGTTCAGACACAAACCACGACAGCTTATCTGTAGAATATTACCAACACTGCACCTCACGACAGCTATCACTATCGGCATATGAAAGTCATGCATGCAGGGCCTCTTTTAACATACAAACTAGACGGGGAGGGGAGCAATGTACCAGCATCACATTAAGCTATTGTCATCCAAGGGCTAGCCACAAGTTCCGATATATTTGGTAACACTCATACTCTTGGCATACGACGGAAGTGAATGTTAATAATTTTATGACAAGTGTATGGGTTGCTCTTGGTAACTGAACAGTGTAGCTAAGGCGTGTCTGTTTCAAACGTCAAACTCAGATTTGACGTATCGTAGTTAATCTAATACTGTCTGTTAGCTAAAAGCCTTTGTCCAGCTACTTGCATGACTAAAATTACTAACAGAATATATTAACTATAGAGGACACTAGGAGATTGCACACCTCCAGTGCTGCAAATTAAAAGTTACATAATTTTTGTAACTATTGTTAACAATTATTCACAGCTGAAGGCAGAGTGGACGTGAACCGACACTGCCACAGATGTGAATAATTGTTTTAGCATATACCACAACAAAACAAAAACGATTCAAAAACCCGAAAATATTTTTAAAACAATTTGTTGCATGATTACAGCTCCCATCAGTAGAGAGTTTAAGATCTACGATGCGGCCCACGACGCGGTCTGAATTTCACCTCAAGAATGAGCGCAAGCTATTTGATTACTGCATGTAATAAATGTTTGAAGCTTTTTCAAAGAACATTACAAACGGCTAAGTTCGACTAAAGCGATGCAATTTTTGCTGTAATTTCGACACCTTCTTAACAATTTCGCTCCGTCACGGTTTTGGAGTGTTGTAGTTAGTACTGTTGAAGAGGTAATTCGATGGAGGCCACGACCGTGGGTCGATCGTAGTATTTCACGGCCACACTTGGGTATTGACGAATTACCTAACCGAGTTACTATATATCAGTATATTGCTGTTCTTGAGTGTCGAGAACACTACCTCTCCACTGTAGTACTACACTCACACTTGCGGAGAACTGAGTGGAGAACTTCCGCGGAGAAGTGGAGATGAGCCGAATCTGCTCCGAAACGAGATAAACATGCTAACTATAATAATAAATCAATATACTAGGGGACAGGGAAAACTGTAACGGTGGACGACTGACACCGAAGGGAACCAACGGCTCGCAACGAGAAGGGGAAGAGGGGCAGACCAGAGGAACGGCCACGAACGATAGCACATCAATGTCGACGAGACCGACAGGGGCAAAACGATGCCCAACCGACGTAAAAACGAGATGGCCCGAACGAAACGCGTAATCGACGGGCGGCCAAACGCGTAATCGACGGGCGGCCAAACGCGTAATCGACGTACAACACACAGGGATGGGGGAATAGTCATAACACCCAACCAACCGATGGGTGAGTGGGAGGGAAGCGTTTCTAGTGACTAAAGGAGTTCTAAAGGAGGGGAATCAGAGTGTTGGGTTTTATAAGGTAGGGATGTAAAACCTCATTAGCATACTAGAGATCGGAGACCCCCAAAACCAACACACACCACTCTGCTCATTCTTAATATCATTTATTTTATAATTAACAAATATAAAACATTTTCCGTGTTGATATTGAGTTATATCAACACGAGTGGAAATTGGGAAAACGAGAAATTGTTTAAAAATAAGTAATAAGTTATAAATTTATTTTCGTCCATAAAATTTTGAATGGCCACACCGCACCCGATCTTAAAGAAGCATTTCAATCTAATAATGAAAGACATAATTCAGCAAAAGGTGCTTCAGTTATAACGGTGCCTTGCATTGGAATAATCTTCCCCATGAGGCAAAAATTGCTGAATCCTCATGCTTTTTCAAATCGATATTAATAAAACAAAGAATGAGTTGAAACGTGCTCGTGTATGATCGTGCTTTAATTAAAAGTCATTGTATTTTCCTGTTCCCTTTCCTGCAATCTAGTCTTATTTTCAGTGGCGGCGCCAAGGGGGGGGGGGGGGGGGGGGGGGGGGGGGGGCAAGGGGGGCAAATGCCCCCCCCCCCCCGTCAAAAAAAATTTTGCCCCTCCCCCGTCAAAAAAAATTATTAGTCACTAAGAGCGACTAAAGCGTTTTGTCGTTATCGGAAAATGTATGGCTTATGTACAGGTTGTTGCAAGAACAATGTTGTGCGGCCAACTATGAACAAGTTGTCAACCATGTTGTTCCAAGTTGTTACAGTTGAACAATGCTGTAACAACATGTTGACAGTACTGTTCATAGTGGGCCGCACAACCTTGTTCACGCCTGTCGACATCAACTTGCAACAAGTTGTCGATTTTTTCCATTTTTACGTGTGTATATGGGGGGGGGGGG